CATTGTATCTGCTACACTGATTAATATGATCAAACGATTGATTAATTAGGGGTACTCCTCGCAGCTTAATTTAAAATTCTCTTTATAAAACTATTCTTTTATGTTAATTGTCTATGTGTTTTAACAAGTAAACATAAATGTAGCGGTTTAATTATACTTCAACATTCAAGCGAAATAACTTGAAATATACGTGTACACTAATGAACCGACGAAAACTGTTCACCTTGTTTAGACAAAAAAGTGTTTGATCGATTTTCAACACTTGCTTTACAATACATGTTAAACTGTACCGTAAAATCATTCACTTAAATTTGTACAGGACTCCCTAACAAATTGCGAATTCAAAACGTCGCGAATTAAGATTCAGTTGGTAATTCGCGAAATAAAGACGGCGCGAAAATTTCCCGGTTTACAGTAAGCAATAGGTCAACAATATTTGATGTATGGAATGATTGTAAGGTATACATGTCTGTCTGGCAGGGTTCATATTACATTGACCTCATGTTCATGGTTCATTGGTCAGTGTTAAGTTTTTTGTAATTTGATCGGTTTCTCAGGTACTATAAGCAATAGGACCACTATATTTGGTGTATGGAATGATTGTTAGGTGTTCATATCTGTCTGGCATGGTTCATCTGACTGTGAGCTCATTTTCATTAACATTGATAATTTTAAGTTCATGAGATACTTGTAGTAAAATGTTCATATTACAGTCTATCAACATATATGCAATCAAAAGTCAAGCTGACGAGACAGTTCAGTGTGTGCACTCTTGTTTTCATATCAAGGTCTTTAATAGTGGACTATACAGTATGGGTTTTGCTCCTAGTTGAAGACCATACAGTGAACTATAAATGCATAAATAAAAATTATTTGGACTGAGTTGGATAGTTGTTTCATTGCCAATCATGCTACATCTCCTTATTCTATATCTTATAGTCTTAAATTAACCTAAATGTTTTTCATTCATTTTTTTGTACAATAATTAGGCCGTTAGTTTTCTTGTTTGAATTGTTTAACATTTGTCATTTCTATGCCTTTTATAGCCGACTATGCAGTATGGGCTTTGCTCATTTGTTGAAGGCCATACGGTGACCTATATTTGTTAATTTCTGTGTCATTTGGTCTCTTTTGAAGAGTTGTCATTGGCAATCATACCACATCTTTTTTTTATATGGAGTTATCTTCCTTAGTCCATAATTGAAGTTGATAAAATATTTTCTTGAAAAATATGGTTATACACATACACATCCATTAGTAACTTGAATATCTGAGTATATATTATCAATCACTTGGCATGGGCATGGATATGATCTAAAGAATGTTTATTACACTTAACCTTGTTATCTGAACTCTCAAAGGATAGCTATTCAGACAGTCACATAAGGCAACCCAAAACTTAACTACAGCAAACAGCGAACCAAAAACACCTGGATAAAAAAAAGGCTTCTGCCTTGACACAAACATATAATTAATGTGGCTGGGTTAAACATGTTTCTACGCACTGAGCCTACATAACAATACAACAAAAGACACAAAAAGTAATTACAGTTACTGAAAGCTTATTCAAAGTCAAATTTCAACTAATAAATAGACCATGTATTCTCAGACTAAAATACTGAGGTGTTGGAAGATTTTGTTGTAATGACTTCCAATTCACAATTCTCCCTCTAATAAACTTTGAAGGAATAAAATAAAGGAAACACAAATTTCTCTTAATAAATATATTTCATACTCAACAATAAGAAAAGATCAATTATACTAACATCATTAATAGTATGGTCCTTAGACCACCAATTGATACAAAAACTCTTCTTTGAGCAGTTCTATTCTTATTTAAGTCATGACTATAAAATTTTCTATTAATAAAAAGTCCTTGGACATAAATTCTATTAAATGTAACCCTATGGTCCTTAAATGTATATTTTTCATGTGACATTAATTTCTATTAATAAATACAGACATTACAATAAACAAAATCACAAATACAATAATATCACAAAGACAGTCAGCACTACTACAATATTTTAAGTTTGAATAAAACATATTATTCAAGATATCATATCATATTAAAATCTATGGCAATATTATAGAAAATCTTGAATAGCAGAACTCGCCATAACATGACGTCTGCTCTGGCATATACGGAAATTCTACAAAATATACTGTGGATTCATAACTCTTTCGGTACTAATTTTCATGGATTTCTTAGGTATAGGTAACTACTAATTTAAGTGTTCAATAAATATAGATTTCCTATAGGCTCTTTATGCAGAAGTTGTAAAAACCATGAAATCAAGTATGTATGAAAATATAATATTTCCTCAATCCACGAAAATGAATAGATCCACAGTATTCTAGGTTTATACCAAAGTTTGCAGAGGAAATGAGAAGTTCACAAAAGTCATGATGTAAATTTCGTAATTATATCCTAGCCAAAATAACTGATATGGTAAATTATAGTTAATTTTCCTCAGGCTGCGAAAATTAACTTAAACCTATAATTTTAAATTCTGTATTTGAAGAATAAAGTACTGTTCTTCAGTTATAGATATTTCACCATTGACTATGGGGTGAAAGTTTACAAGCCTGTCATAAGCAATACATGAATGGTTAGACATTTCTAAAAAGAGTTTAATGTTGTGTGTGACAATAATCATGAGTTTAAACTGAACTCGTCACTTTAAAGAAAATTAAATAATGCCTGTATGGTCCCTACTTCGAAAAGATTTCAGATGTCACAAGGCAAGGGGTATCACTAATATCTTATTATGAGCTTTCATTTTTAATGGATTTGCAGCTACTCAACTAAAAACTTCACTACAAAATGGGAAGAAAAATATTCATCCTGCAATATCCTTACTACCGAAGATATCAAAATATAAAAGCTGTTGACATTCTCCATAATCTACATCCTTTTTTATATAAATAATACATATATTTATCAACAGCTTATGTATACAAAAATGGAAATATGCATGTCCAGTCCTAAGTGAAAAATGCCCAGTTTAAAAGATAACATATACATTTTTGTTATGCTTTAGTTGTTTAATTACTTCAAATTTAAAAACACATTTTAGTTATTTCCAATTAAATGATCCTATGACACCTTGTTTATCAATATGCAGATATGATTTGTCAACCTTTCCTAATATATAAAAATAAGGAGATGTGGTATGATTGTCAATGAGACAAATATCCACCAGAGTTCAAATGAAGTGGATGTAAGCAATTATAGGCACCCGTACAGCCTTCAACAATGAGAAAAACCAATACCGTATAGTTGGCTATAAAAGGCTAATACACAATATATGAAGTAAACAGGAACATGTGGCAAACATAACTTTATTTTTCCTCTTATACTAGATAAGACTCCAATGATTTTGATCAGACTTTGAAATGTAAAGGTTTGTACTAATCTAACAGGGGCGGATCTAGGGTTTGAGGAAAGTTGGAGCATACTTTTCCTTAAAGGTAAAAAGCATAGCCATTTATTAAAAAAACCTATTTAATGCCAATAAATGATGGAAAAGGGTGGTAAACCTTTTATGCCCTTCCCTAACTCCGCCACTGTCCAATCATTAGAAGTTGTAAGAAATAATTTAAATAGTTACTTTATATTCCTTTTATTTCCCAAATTATCTCAAAGTATCTGAAAAATGCATGATCGAAAATTTAAGTAATAAAGAATGTAGTACCTAACAAATTGTAACCACATTGTTCTTATTTAACAAACTTTACGTATAAATTCTGAACATGGGTCCTCAAGACTCCTCCTTCACCACAGTATCTATATTTCCATGATATTATAAATATAACCAAAAACTACATATTACTAGTACTGCTAGTACTGTATATTCAAAAATTTATTGATGAATTTATCATTGCCATTGTTAATCACAGGATTCTCACTTAAATATTTGTGTACACGATTGTCCTACGGTCATAATACTTTAATCAGTCCTCGGAGTACAAAATGTGTGCTCTAAACACCAAATCCAGTATTTTCATTGGTTAAATTCTGAGTATTTCTGAATTTTTTATATATGCAAGACCTGATCTCATTAAAATCACGATGGACTTGTCATTTTCATAATTGGATGTTGCATCAAAATTGTATCAACTGAGTCCAGTCATCATTCTTTTAAATCACAAGTTTAAAAAAGAAATCTCAGTTTTCTAGAAAAGTAAAATAATGAATTGAGTCAAATTATTTTTTCTCAAACTTTTACTGGCCTTGCAAATGTGGTGAGTATAGTTTGATGAACGGACTAAAATGGAAAATTACTTAATGCCATTTCAAGAAAATCTGTAAACATAATTTAATCGCATTTTCAAAATAATATAATCATTACAAAAATTTCTGAATTTACAGTTCAAGTTATTAATATGATCCCTGAGACATACTATATCATATTAATTATTGAATGATGGCCATTTGGAAGTTTAATATCTGCTTCTAAAGATCACACATGTACAATTGTTACATATTATTGTAAGTAGTCTAGGGATGAAACAAATTGTACACCTCCTTAAAAATTTATTTAATCATATACATTATTCTTGGTTCCAACAGGATATACCATGGATGTCGACATATATTCCGGGGACCAGTAATGATCCAAATTATGACAAAAAAGTGTTTGCACAACTTAAAACTAGAGGCTCTAAAGAGCCTGTGTCGTTCACCTTGGTCTATGTGCATATTAAACAAAGGACACAGATGGATTCATGACAAAATTGTGTTTTGGTGATGGCGATGTGTTTGTAGATCTTACTTTACTGAACATTCTTGCTCCTTACTATTATCTTTATCTATAATGAACTTGGCCCAGTAGTTACAGTGGAAAATATTTTGTAAAAATTTACAAAAATTTACAAAATTCATGAAAATTGTAAAAAATTGACTTTAAAGGGCAATAACTCCTTAAGGGGTCAATTGACAATTTTAGTCATGTTGACTTATTTGTAGATCTTACTATGCTGTACATTATTGCTGTTTACAGTTAATCTCTATCTATAATAATATTCAAGATAATAACCAAAAGCTGCAAAATTTTCTTAAAATTACCAATTCAGGGGTAGCAACCCAACAACGTGTTGCCTGATTGGTCTGAAAATTTCAGGGCAGATAGATCTTGACCTAATGAACAATTTTATCCCGTCAGATTTGTTCTAAATGCTTTATTTTCAGAGATATGAGCCAAAAACTGCATTTTACCCTATGTACTATTTTTTACCCATGTCGGCCATCTTGGTTGGCGGGCGGGGTCATCGGACACATTTTTTAAACTAGATACCCTAATGATGATTGTGGACAAGTTTGGTTAAATTTGTCTTAGTAGTTTCAGAGGAGAAGATTTTTGTAAAAGATTACAAAAATTTATGAAAAATGGTTAAAAATTGACTATAAAGGGCAATAACTCCTTAAGGGGTCAACTGACCATTTTGGTCAAGTTGACTTATTTGTAGATCTTACTTTGCTGAACATTATTGCTGTTTACAGTTTATCTCTATCTATAATAGTATTCAAGATAATAACCAAAAATGGCAAAATTTCCTTAAAATTACCAATTCAGGGGCAGCAACCCAACAACGGGTTGTCCGATTCATCTGAAAATTTCAGGGCAATTTGATCTTGACCTGATAAACAATTTTAGCCTTTGTCAGATTTGCTCTTAATGCTTTGGTTTCAGAGATATAAGCCAAAATCTACATTTTACCGCTATGTTCTATTTTTAGCCATGTCGGCCATCTTGGTTCTCGGGCGGGGTCATCAGACACATTTTTTAAACTAGATACCCCAATGATGATTGTTGCCAAGTTTGGTTAAATTTGGCCAAGTAGTTTCAGAGGAGAAGATTTTTGTAAAAGTTAACGACGACGGACTACAACGACAACGACGACGGACGACGGACGCCAAGTGATGAGAAAAGCTCACTTGGCCCTTTGGGCCAGGTGAGCTAAAAAGACAAAATTGTTCATTTTTGTCATGAATCAATGAAAATGTGCTCTGAATGGCAGAAGTGTAAACTGTCTACATGATGGGTTTTTTTAGTACCTAGTTTATCTGATATATAAGATCAAATTCTGGAAGGTGGTCACACCAGCATTTTATTTGTTAATCATTACATTATGTGTATAAGTTTTGAGGTTTAAAAAATAATTTCAAACAAATCTTTACATTATTCTAAATTATGAAAAATATGCAATCTCTAAATCTAACTCATCTACCTTCTAAAACATTTCAAAGGAAAATTTTATCATTATTTCTATCATTGTTAAAATTTTATCATTATTTCTATCATTGTTATGACTATATAAATTTTTAACACGAAAAAAAAAGTTGGTTTTATTAGCATATAAGAAAGAATCTTCATTCTACTTCAGCATCTCTTATTTTCACGGTACTTTTCATATAACTGTAAAGCTAAAATGACTAAAAAAAAATCAGTTGTGCTTTTCATAAAATGAAGGTAAAATTACAACCAATTTTGTGTCAAAACAAGGTCCTCCAATTCCTATTTCTCGAGAGTGCCCGTCCCCCTTTTAGCATCAAATCTGGGTCCATGCCTGCATGATGTGATGTTTCTTCACTGAAGACAATTAAATATTATAAGTTCACAGTAGATATATTTAGTGAGATACAGTGTTAGAATCTTTTTTTTTTAGATTTTTAGATGTGTAGGCAAACTTTGATGTTCTTTTTCAATGATTAATAAAAAAAAGTGTTCTCTTTCTGTGTAATGTCAGCAGGCACGGTTACCTTTTTAACGGAGTCAGAGATAAACAAAAAAATTCTTTTATCATAATTAAATTTTGATCAATGAAAAACTGAGAAAAACCCAACCACAACTTGATAATAAAAAAAATAATCAATTGGTTGTGATAAGTATAAATAGGCTGTGAAATAAAGTAAATGTAAGACAACAGTGTCATATCATGAATATTAATAGCAAATGAAATATTATAGGGTTTTAATTTCATAATTATTGTAAATAGATCAATTCAATTATTTCCATGAAATATCATTTATCATCTATATCCAGAAAAATATACATTTCTTTTTACAATTAAAAATATCTTGACCACATCATTTTAACCTTTGAGCATTACTTATTTTCTACCACAAAAAGGATTGGCAACATTAGACAAAAAAAATTTTGCCAAAACTTGATTGATTTTTAACAGTTCAAATCAGTCTGCAGCATAAATGTTTCCAAATTTTGTATATAGTGAAATTTTCATAACATGTATCCTAAAAATTAGAATTTAATTTTCTCAGATGAAATGCTTTGTGAAAATAGGAAAATGTGAAACAACTATGAACACTTTTCTAGTTATCAATAGACTAATCAGATAAAAAATATTTATGCCCTCTTCAATATAAACTTTAAAACTGCTTGATGAAATGAAAATGATTTAGATGTCTGAAGTAAAATGACCTTGATGATCTTCATGACCTTGATGACATACATCTTTACTATATCAATAAAACAATATGAAGTTTACAGCATACAATTGTAGATCTTTGCACTAATTGTTAATACAAATATACGTTAATCCATAATAATATGACACAGATTTATACTAGCACCAAGAAAAAAGATATTTCTTTGGGATTTATTTTCATTCTTTACATAATTGTTATATACCGCAAAAGCACCAAGGAATTTAAACTTTTTCTTTGGGATTTTGTTAATTTTAAATTTTTTTGCTAAATGTAATTAACTAATAGGATACATTATTCTCATAAAAATATAAAAAATGTATCAAAAATAATAAACATGTCCAACAATTGAACATATATGTATTTTTATCATAATGTATGAATCACTAATAATAAATGATTACCTTTTTTCAGCAACAATTTGCACAAATCCCTTGGCCATACATTGTACTTTTATTTGGCCACACGTTGTATACAAATACCAATACAGAAAAATAACATAAAAAGCAACTGATCTCTAACAAATTTTTTATTTGTTTAAACGGTGATGACAACAACTGTCATGAGTTTGAAAGATTTAAAGAAATGCTTTTAATCCAAAAGTGATAAAATCTAATTTAATCAAATATTTGCAAAAATGGTCTTCACTTTTAACACAATCAGTTCCTGATAACCACAACACTTTTCAATCAATATTTGCAACAAAACTTTTACAGGAAAATCTTTATAAGTTTTATTAAGGTGTCTAATTATTTAAGCAAATTAAATAAGTTTAAACTGAAAACAAAACTGAGAAAATTACACACCCAAATAGTACTTTTTAAAATAGTAGGTTTTAAATCTAATATAAAAAAAAAAAAAATCAATATCAAAATGATGTATGTTCATAGCATAACTTTGTAATGATAAACCTTACACATATTTATACTACTGAAATAATATCATATCATATTCTGTCACAAATATCATAAATAAAATTATATTGAACCCATGTTTGACTCATAATATAGTAAGACCTAAAGGCCTCATTCAATCTTGACAATTTCTGATTATTTTTTAATTCTTATTAATATAATCAAAGTGTTAATTTCAGATAAATTTGCTTATTTAAAAACAGTTGAACTAATCGGTCGAACTAAATGTCATCCAATTTAATAACTAGCAGTATTCAGATTTCTTGAGTTTTGTGATGGACAGACATGAAAAATAACTACCCAAAAAAGATAAAACAGAACACTGGCAACCTTATCATGTCTTTTTATTTTGTGAAGATACATGTAATTCCATTTTAATACATAATTGACAATTCCCCACTATGAATTTCTTTTGTCAAACCATTTAAATTGTGACAAGAAACTTCAAATTTTCAATTTAAATTCATGAATGTTAATTTTTTCAATAAATTCAATCATACCAGACCTCAAACCTAAATATTTTTGAACACCAGATTTCAATTTAGTCATTTAAAAATATTCTTAAGATACTGTAGGGTTATATATCGAAAATTAAGCAAGACACAGATGCCTCTTTTATAAAAAAAATCTAGGAAAAGATTAAAATAACAAAAATTCTTCTGAATAGCACTTTACTATAAAATAGGAATATCACTGATATATTACCGTAAGTTTCAAACAGATGGGCCCTTATGCAAAACATAAGTACAAAAAGTAAGTCCTAATGAAACAAATGTTGCTAAATAGTGTTGTACTATAGACAGGGATTGTAATATATAGTATAGCATTGTAAAAGAGGACTGTTTTATTGGAATATTTATGAATATATAACCATGTTTCTGAGTGGTATATCTACATGAAATAATCGGACTAATTCAAGATAAACATGAAAATGAATGAACAAAGGGAAATAGGTATATAAGCCTCAGTTAGGTACAGTCATGGCACGGCAAAAATAAGTAGTTGAAACTAAAATGTGAGTGTTCCATGAAATCTGGTCATTAGAAGTAGCAGTTACTAATGTGTGAGAAATCCTGGAAGACAAAACAAGATGACAAAAACCTATTACTAGCAAATACACACAGACAACTAACATTTAATATACTAAAATTAAATATTGCAAAATTAAAATAAACCTTGATGAACCATCTTATTTTCACTTCGATAAATTGGAGTTTTAAGGGTAAAATATGTTTATGTGAGTACAGTTAATAAAATGGAATCTGAATTAAAATTAAAAACTATAATTTCATTACTCAATACATTTTGTCCAAGGACTTTTTTCTCCTGAGTTACAAAAATGATCCTAAGGGTTAAAATCAGCATGAGGTCAATATCACTGGGAAAGACTAGTGGGTGAAACAGTATTTGAAACTTTTTTTGTGATATCTGGCGGTATAAGTCCGCTATCAAAATCTGTGGATTCTACATGAGGCATTTTATTGATGGGTGAATTACCCTTTACATTTAATTCATGAAAATTAGTTAAACCTTCATGTAAAGAGTTCACAACCCTCCCATGCTCTAAATTGTTCACACAATTGAAAGACTGATGAGTTGTTTCCCTTGTAATGATTGGAACAGAAAATTGAGTTCGACTGACTAATGCTTCCTTTGGGAATGTGTGATCATCTACTGTTTCAAAATCTGACTCATTAGAATCACCATGGTCACTATCATCATCTTCAGAGTGAGGAAGAGTTTGTGATTTCCGTCTTTTCGACAGAAATCTGATTGTGTTTCCATGACTGGAAGGCTGAGAAGATACAAATAATCCACTAGCCAGTCTACTAGTTTCAAAACTGGGACTCAAATTGGAAATTTTTGGCCTTGTCAAAAAATCTTCCATGGATGTACTTTTCTTTTGTAAAGTTACTCTATCACTAGCTAATGCTGACAATTTGTCTGTAAGACGTTCTAAAGAGGTAGCATGAAGAATCATAGCGGTAGGCAAGCTCCGCCTCCGCAGATATTGTGTTAATGGTAAAATGTCTCTGTGAACTGTCACATTTGTTATTTCCTTCTGAAAACAACATGGTGGCATGCTGTGACGTCTCTGTTCTAACAACAGAGAATCTGGTTCTTCTCTGACGGGGGATAAACTACGGATACTTCCCCTACGACTACTATTATAAGATAAGTCCTCTTGATCGTCTAAAAGATGAGCAAATGTTAATGGTAGTCTTCCATCCTCTACCTTATCATCCTCTTCATCGGTAACATGCAATGAAACAGTTTCAGCCGAGTCTTCCACATCAGACTTTTCATTTTGTTCACTTATCTCCTGTTCTGCAATCAAGATTTCTTTTTCTTTATTTTCGTCAGAAATAATAATTTGCCACTGTTCCAGATTAAGCTTTACATTTTTTATCATTTGACTGCTTAATGGAGTAGGTAGAAATCTCTGCCATTCTTGAAATAAGGGGGCAACTACAAACTGTAAAAATCCTACAAAATAAATGAAAGATTAAACACCGTTAAATGTTAAAACGGGAATAGATTCCACATACATGTACAAGGATTCATTCTTATTTCCAAGAGTGTCTTTAGATGCAAATTTTTGCTGTCCTATTAAGCTTAGAGATTAAAATATAAAAATACAAGGATTCATTCTAATATTCACGAGTGGCCTTAGATGCACATTTTTGGTCCTTTTAAGCTAAGAGATTGAAATAAAAAAGTACTAAAACATCTGCCATATATCGGTACACTTAATTGTGTTCATATTTTTTAGTCATAGCTATAAGATAGAAATTACTTCTTCTTCCCATCCTCTATAACTTTTAATAGTGTTAATAGATATACATCGTTAACAAAATTGATTCTTAATACTATTACAGTTTACTATTGATGGATGTTGCGATATAGCCTTTTTGGTGGTGTACAGTAAACACTAATCAACCAATTTAGAATAACTGTCAATTAAATTCTTATTTTATATTACTAACACTTTTAAATATGATAATACTAATATTCTCCATTTATCAAATTTTCAATGGCCACTTTACTAAAGATCAAATTCAAAATGGTTGGTCTAAGTTCCAACTTTTGTTGTAGGATCAGATTCAACATTTCACAAAAATATTTACCTATTGTTATAATAATTAAAAAAAAATTAATATGGAGCTGTAGCCAACTTGTGACCCCAGCTACCCACCAATCAGGAATAAAGAAGCATTGTTTTGGTTTGATCAAACTGTTTTCGAGACCAATAAGATTTTTTCAATATATTTTACTCTGTCAGAATCTCAAGTCAAACTAGTTTACCCATAGTTAGCCATGGTGGTTAGTTAAGATACCTTAAGCATTTGTCAAACTAGTCGTTCTATTCATCACATCAGAAGTTAATTACCTGCCATAAGTAGTTCAGATGGGTTAAGAATTTTCCAAAAAGTTTCTACCAAGCAAACTGATTGAGTCATTTGTATCAAAAGATTCAAAACTGTCAGTACAAATGAAAGAACCTTCAGTTTGTATTTTCTTATAATTGTAAAGTAATTCTCAGCATGACCTTAACACAGAGACCAATGAAAAAAGTAAATGTAAAAATAAATCTCCAAATTATAGCAAAAGACAAGAACAAAAATGTACCCAAACATACATATTTAAGGTACATAATACTACAGGGAGATAACTCTTTAATAAAATGCTTCGCTGGGCGCAGCTTGATACGACCGCAGAGGTCGAACCCTGAACAGTTGGGGCAAGTATGGACACAACATTCAAGCTTGATACAGCTCTGAATTTGGATTGTGATTAAATATTTGACACAGCATAGGTTTCTGACACAGAAAGAATGTGGTCTAAGAACTTCAATTTTTTTAATTTACCTATTATGGTCCAATGTCCAAAATCAAAATACATGGTTAGAATCAGCATATCAAAGAACCTCATATATTCAATTTTTGTTGAAATCAAACAAAGTTTAATTTTGGACCCCAACTTGGACAAACTTGAAAACTGGTCCCATAATCAAAAATCTAAACACATGTTTAGATTCAGCATATCAAAGTACCAAAAGAATTCAATTTTTGTTAAAATCAAACTAAGTTTAATTTTGGACCCTTTGGACCTTAATGTAGACAAATTTAAAAAACGGGACCCTAAATTAAAAATCTAAAAACACAGTTAGATTTGGCATATCAAAGAACCCCAATAATTCAATTTTTGATGAAATCAAACAAAGTTTAATTTTGGACCCTTTTGACCTCAATATGAACCAATTTGATAGCGGGCCCACAAATAAAAAGTCTAAATACATGGTAAGATTCAGCATATCAAAGAACCCCATATATTCAATTTTTGTTGAAATCAAACAAAGATTAATTTTGGACCCCAATTTGGACCATCTTGAAAACTGGGCCAAAAATCTAAAATCTAAATACATGTTTAGATTCAGCATATCAAAGAACCCCATATATTCAATTTTTGTTGAAATCAAACAAAGTTTAATTTTGGACCCCAACTTGGACCAACTTGAAAACTGGTCCCATAATCAAAAATCTAAACACATGTTTAGATTCAGCATATCAAAGAACCCCAAAAATTCAATTTTTGTTAAAATCAAACTAAGTTTAATTTTGGACCCTTTGGACCTTAATGTAGACCAATTTGAAAAACAGGACCCAAAATTAAAAATCTAAATACACGGTTAGATTTGGCATATCAAAGATCCCCAATAATTCAATTTTTGATGAAATCAAACAAAGTTTAATTTTGGACCCTTTTGACCTCAATATGAACCAATTTGATAGCGGGCCCACAAATAAAAAATCTAAATACTTGGTAAGATTCAGCATATCAAAGAACCCCATATATTCAATTTTTGTTGAAATCAAACAAAGTTTAATTTTGGACCCCAATTTGGACCAACTTGAAAACTGGGCCAAAAATCTAAAATCTAAATACATGTTTAGATTCAGCATATCAAAGAACCCCATATATTCAATTTTTGTTGAAATCAAACAAAGTTTAATTTTGGACCCCAACTTGGACCAACTTGAAAACTGGTCCCATAATCAAAAATCTAAACACATGTTTAGATTCAGCATATCAAAGAACCCTAAGAATTCAATTTTTGTTAAAATCAAACTAAGTTTAATTTTGGACCCTTTGGACCTTAATGTAGACAAATTTAAAAAACAGGACCCAAAATTAAAAATCTAAATACACGGTTAGATTTGGCATATCAAAGAACCCCAATAATTCAATTTTTGATGAAATCAAACAAAGTTTAATTTTGGACCCTTTGGACCTCAATGTGGACCAATTTAAAAACGGGGCCCAAAATCTAAAAACTTAATACACGGTTAGATTCAGCATATTAAAGAACCCCAAGAATTCAAGAATAAAACCCCATTGAAATTGATCAAGAAATAAGCAATTTATACGAAGTATCTTCTTTTGCACAATACTGTGCAATTGAATATTTCTTGCTATTGCGCAATACTGTACAATTGACAAGTTCTTGCTATTGCGCAATATTGTGCTATTGGATATTTCTTGCTATTGCGCAATACTGTTAAATTGAAGATTTCTTGCTATTGCGCAATACTGTGCAATTGAAGATTTCTTGCTATTGTGCAATACTGTGCAATTGAAAATTTCTTGCTATTGCACAATACTTATTATATAATAATTTACACATCCTGTTTGGTGTGTATCTCCTACCATATCATTATTATTTGCTTTTAAATATAAATCAGAAATAACCAACTTAAAATGGAAAATTTTAAAAGTAAAAAAAAGGAAAAAAAGAAAAAAAAAAAAAAAAAAATCCCCCCCCCCAAATTTTTTGAACCCCCTTATGATTCATCACCCCCAAACTCAATCCCAGCCTTCCCTTTGTGGTATGGTACCTTGCAGTACAATTTCAGAGAGATCCATACACTTGAACACAAGTTATTGTCTGGAAACTAGAAAAATGCTTATTTTTGGCCCCTTTTTGGCCCCCAATTCCTAAACGTTTCGGGCAATTACCCCCAAACTCAATTCCAGCTTTCCCTTTGTGATATGGAACCTTGTAGTACAATTTCAGAAATATCCAAACACTTACACACAAGTTATTGTCATGAAACTAGAAAAATGCTTGTTTTTTGCCCCTTTTTTGGCCCCTAATTCCTAAAATTTTGAGGCAATTACCCCCAAAATCAATTACAGCCTTCCCTTTGTGATATGGAACCTTGTGGTACAATGTCAGAGAGATCCATACACTTACACACAAGTTATTGTCTGAAAGTTACAAAAATGCTTATTTTTGGCCCCTTTTTGGCCCCTAATTCCTTAACTGTTGGTACCATAACCCCCAAAATCAATCCCAACCTTCCTTTTGTGGTATTGAACCTTATGGTGAAATTTCATGGAGATCCATTCACTTAAACTAAAGTTAGAGTGCGAAAACCAATGTGTCTTCGGACGACGCCGGACGACGACGACGACGACGACGACAACGACGACGACGACGTCGACGACGACGCCAACGTCATACCAATATACGACCAAAAAATTTTTAATTTTTGCGGTCGTATAAAAATCAGCTGAACGTTTTAATCACATTCTATTGTTGAGGAAATATAAAGCTTCTCAATGATCAAAATAAGTGTTTGTCAAACTGCTATATATCCAATGATATTTTTCCGATAAAGTGTGTGGTTCAAGTTTTTTGAAATTTTTATATTTTTGTCAAAGGGTCAAAGTAAATATTTTGTCAAAATTTTATGAAAATTAAACGAGCCAAATTAATTTTAATAAAGGTGTTTGGTACCATCTTAAACTTTAAATAGTTTTAACATATTGGTTAAATTCACTAGCTTGATTTGGACTCTGTTGGACAGTTGTCGCATCGGCAATTATACTAAATCTCCTTATTTAATATACATTGTTATAACTTGTGGTATTGTAAATTCGGTTTAAATATGTTCAAATCTTCTATCAGTATTAATGCTATGACAAAAGAGAAATCCTTGTTTTATGACCTACCAGCTTGTATCTTAGCTACAGTTGTGGCATGTCTATCACAGAGAGGGGTAACTGGTATTTGTAGCTGTCTTTCATAATCACCTGTGAAAAATAAATTCATTTTTATATGAAATCTATCTTACTGATAAGATTATGGTGTAATGCCTTAATCTTAACATTTAAAATTCAGCTACCAATTATAAATTAATGCCTATCTATTCGAAATAAATAGTTATTTAATTGAACCTTAATTCGCTTTTTAAATGAGATAGATTGGTGTTGGACATGTATATAAACATATATAAATTAATGCCTATCTATGCTATACAAATCGTTATTTAATTCTATTTTAATTCGATTTTTAAATTAGATAGCTTGGTGATGGGAGTTGAAAAGGTAGCTTACCATCTGAAATTAATCAGGAATCAAATGGCTCTTCATAGCAATTTAACACAAATATATTTCATAATATGTCAACAAGAGGAAACATAGAGTTTTTATATCTCCCCTAACACTTATGTATAATATGACACAATCAGCAAAAAACAAAGGCTATATAGGATAAACATCACATGATTTTAATTGGATTTTCAAACATAAAAGCTCATATGGGTTTCAGTAATCAATTGACATCACAATACTTTAAAGTAAAAACAACTGCCACATGAGGGCAAAAGCTTCACTTTAGCCAAGTAAGGTTATGAAACCTATATATAATATTCTTTATAATAACCAAATAAAGTTTTTCTAAATTCTTAATGCTATTAAATCGTTTCTGATCAATTGGGTAAATTTTTCATAAACCACTTATCAATTAAATCTACTGATATAGAGTTGCCTGGCAAGTTTCACATCTAAAATCTTGAAACTTTGATAATTATCAGTGAATAGAGTATTGTAGTACAATGCAGAATCTATTACTAACAGTTACATTATCACATTTTGTTACCTTGTCTAAAGAATTCATCACAGACACGTTCACTCCAAAGCTTACTAACTGGCCAGTCTCGACATGGATTACATATATCTGCACATTTTAATGCAATCTGAAAACAGAAAGTCAGTTCACTTACAGCATTTACTCCATTTTGAATACAACGGAAAGTATGAACAACGAACCTTCAACAAATTATTAATGTTTTCATTTCAAGATCTTGTATTCAAAATGTCTTCATCAATTTTTTTGTGTCACAGTATAAAAATTTTATAAAAATATAAAAGAATAGCAAATACACAAACAGTCAATGATGGTTACATAAATTTCTTAATCCTGGTTTAAACAATTAAAATACAACACTGAAAGGAGTTAAACAAATTTTGTTTGAGAACAATGGCAACTTAATCATGAAAATAGTTCACACTAACTAATAATACATATGAAACAATGTTTTCCGGAAAGTTGTAGCTGTACTTACTTGTAACATAAAATGTCTTTGTTCAAAATTATTTCTAAAATCAAAGTTAGGATCATCCAAATATTTCTGAAATAAATGTCATATTCTATTCATCATTCTATTATCTATTAATGATTTATTAGTAATGATATCTTAAAAGACAATACATATACATTAAACTGAATTTGTACTTGCAATAATCAAAACGACCAGTGCCACATCTGCTTACCTTTCCAGAGCACCTGAGATCACCCCCTGTTTTTGGTGGGGTTCATGTTGCTCAGTCTTTAGTTTCTAAGTAGTTGTTGTTTTTTGCCATGGTGGTGTTTTTTTGACTTATGGTTTTTAATTGTTCTTTGGGTGTCTTCTGCCTTTTTACTTTCTTTTTTTTTTTTTTTTTCTTGATTATTGTTATATACAATGAACAGTAGCACCTAAACCAAGCCATTCATAAATCGTTAATCTGTCAAACCTGAACTATTGTAACCGCAATGAAATGATTTACAACTATTAGGTCTGGGGACACAGTTATCGTCCTTTGATTTGCGTGTCTAAAATAGAGTTCCTAGTGTGGACAGTGTATAACTTGCAATTTTTTTTCATACACCTTCCAAATTTATTTCTTGATATTTTATGCATAAAATAATTAGGGGGATGAAATTACATGTTAAAATAAAATGCTCCGCAGGGCGCAGCTTGATACGACCGCAGAGGTCAAACCCTGAACAGTTGGGGGAAGTATGGACACAACATTCAAGCTTGATACAGCTTTGGATTTGGATTGTGATTAAATATTTGACACAGCATAGGTTTCTAACACAGATTGAATGTGGTCTAAGAACTTAAAAATTTTGAATTGGACATTCACCTATTATGGTCCAATATCCAAAATCTAAATACATGGTTAGATTCAGCATATCAAAGAACCCCAAGAATTCAATTTTTGATGAAATCAAACAAAGTTTAATTTCGGACCCTTTTGACCTCAATGTGGACAAAGTTGATAACGGGGCCCAAAAATCAAAAATCTAAATACATGGTTAGATTCAGCATATCAAAGAACCCCATATATTCAATTTTTGTTGAAATCAAACAAAGTTTAATTTTGGACCCCGATTTGGACCAACTTGAAAACTGGGCCCATAATCAAAAATCTAAATACATGTTTAGATTCAGCATATCAAAGAACCCTAAGAATTCAATTTTTGTTAAAATCAAACTAAGTTTAATTTTGGACCCTTTGGACCTTAATGTAGACCAATTAGAAAACGGAACCAAAAATTAAGAATCTAAATACACGGTTAGATTCGGCATATCAAAGAACCCCAATAATTCAATTTTTGATGAAATCAAACAAAGTTTAATTTTGGACCCTTTTGACCTCAATGTGGACAAAGTTGATAACGGGGCCCAAAAATCAAAAATCTAAATACATGGTTAGATTCAGCATATCAAAGAACCCCATATATTCAATTTTTGTTGAAATCAAACAAAGTTTAATTTTGGACCCCGATTTGGACCAACTTGAAAACTGGGCCCATAATCAAAAATCTAAATACATGTTTAGATTCAGCATATCAAAGAACCCTAAGAATTCAATTTTTGTTAAAATCAAACTAAGTTTAATTTTGGACCCTTTGGACCTTAATGTAGACCAATTTGAAAACGGAACCAAAATTTAAGAATCTAAATACACAGTTAGATTCGGCATATCAAAGAACCCCAATAATTCAATTTTTGATGAAATCAAACAAAGTTTAATTTTGGACCCTTTGGACCTCAATGTGGACCAATATAAAAACGGGGCCCAAAATCCAAAAACTAAATACACGGTTATATTCAGCATATTAAAGAACCCCATGAAATCAAGAATAAAACCCCATTGAAATTGGTCAAGAAATAAGCAATTTATAGGAAGTATCTTCTTTTGCACAATCCTGTGCTATTAAATATTTCTTGCTATTGCGCAATACTGTACAATTGACAATTTCTTGCTATTGCGCAATATTGTGCTATTGGATATTTCTTGCTATTGCGCAATACTGTGCAATTGAAGATTTCTTGCTATTGCGCAATACTGTGCAATTGAAGATTTCTTGCTATTGTGCAATACTGTGCAATTGAAAATTTCTTGCTATTGCACAATACTTATTATATAATAATTTACACATCCTGTTTGGTGTGTATCTCCTACCATATCATTATTATTTGATTTTAAATATAAATCAGAAATAACCAACTTAAAATGGAAAATTTTAAAAGAAACAAAAAAGGAAAAAAAGAAAAAAAAGGAAAAAAAAATAAATCCCCCCCCAAAATTTTTTGAACCCCCATTATGATTCATCACCCCCAAACTTAATCCCAGCCTTCCCTTTGTGGTATGGTACCTTGCAGTACAATTTCAGAGAGATCCATACACTTGAACACAAGTTATTGTCTGGAAACTAGAAAAAATGTGTTTTTTGGCCCCTTTTTGGCCCCAAATTCCTAAACGTTTAGGGCAATTACCCCCAAACTCAAACCCAGCTTTCCCTTTGTGATATGGAACCTTGTAGTACAATTTCAGAAAGATCCATACACTTACACACAAGTTATTGTCATGAAACTAGAAAAATGCTTGTTTTTTGCCCCTTTTTTGGCCCCTAATTCTTAAAATTTGGAGGCAATTACCCCCAAAATCAATCCCAGCAATCCTTTAGTGATATGGAACCTTGTGGTACAATGTCAGAGAGATCCATACACTAACACACAAGTTATGTCTGGAAGTTACAAAAATGCTTATTTTTGGCCCCTTTTTGGCCCCTAATTCCTTTACTGTTATTACCATAACCCCCAAAATCAATCCCAACCTTCCTTTTGTGGTATTGAACCTTGTGGTAAAATTTCATAAAGATCCATTCACTTAAACTAAAGTTAGAGTGCGAAAACCAATGTGTCTTCGGACGACGCCGGACGACGACGACGCCGCCGGACGACGAAGACGCCAACGTCATACCAATATACGACCACAAAAATTTTTTTGCGGTCGTATAAAAATTTGGGGCATGAATTTTTAGGTCAAGTAGTGATTTGGTCCAGTTTGAAAAGGTCAAAAATTAGTATGTCTGAAGCTGCATGTTGAGCATGATATAGCCACTAACAAATATGTGTAAAAATTATATGCTTTTGTAATTTTTTCAAATAATTAAATGCATGTCATATTTTATCCTTATAAATATATATTCATTATATATGAAAAGCCATACAGTTTCCATTTTGCATAAATTTCTATCAAATATTTTTATCCAAGTAAAACATGATTTTAGATAAAGTTGTGAATGGAAACCGGAAATGTGTCAAAGAGACAACAACCCAACCAAAGAGCAGAAAACAGCCCTAGGCCACCAAATATATTTACCTCATTTGTATGGCCAAATCTGGCCCTTAATACACCTAGATATAAATAATATGAGACATGTGTTTTGGTGTGAACACCCTGTGTTGTTGTTTACCTTAAACCTAGAGAGAAATTCTTGTTGTCTAGTAATATCAGTAGCTAGTATTAATGATCTGAGTTGCCATTCTACTTGCTCCCATGTCTTTTTATCAAAATGGTTAAAAACACCGGATTGTTGAAGGAGGGCTATACAAGATCTCCAATGATGATTTTCTAGAACTGAGGTATTCTGAAAGTAAAATAGACAATTGTGGTCAAATAAAGCTATAAACATGTAAAATTAGTTGTTTTTATTTCAAAATAGAAATAAACATGTAAATACATAGACAATATGTATTCCTAAAACTTGTTTCATTTATATATCATGCTGATGTATATTCTATAATAAAACAATGTCATTTTGTTTATCTATCAACTACCAGGTTTTTTTAGGCACATAGTTATAGCCTTTGTCCATAAGTTCCTCACTACAGGCAGCAAGCATTCTCATAGTATTGGCACATTTAGCCTTCCATATTCCTTCCTTTAATCATTTCAGATTTATAATGAACAACACAGTACCTTGTAAAGGGCAGCTAAATGATTGGCTGTAGCAATCATGAAAGTTTGGTTGACCCCTGGATGATCAAGGTCATGGCTCATGGCAGCTACTAATGAAGTCATGATTTCAAATTTTGGAATGGAACCCTGTAGCTGAAATGATAAAAAAAAAATGCAATACAAGTCAGTCATTTGATTCATAGTTGAAAATTACTTTCTTTTAAAAACACATGAACATATATAATAAAAACAAAATCACTTTTCACAAAAGTAGCCATATATCAAACACAAAAGATTTCAAACAAAATTTATTGTTTGGTTGTACAATTCTGCCCCTAGTCTAATTAGTTTTCTCTGAATATGTATATTGTATAAATGATATTATATAATGAATTAATATTAATCATATATGTTTATTCTGTAACCTTATCCTCTTAAGGATAGAGGTGACATGATTAATCTTAGGTTGGTGTTAATTGTATCATTCCAATGGATTACATCATAGGTTATTATGTAACAAAAAGTGCTGACTAAATGACAATAATATTGATTTTCCTCAGAAAGTCATTTGTCCTTTATATGCAAATAAATAATCCCACAGCAATTCATCAACTGCAGTTTTTTTTAATGCTTTGATTTAAGAGATCTGCTGAACTTGCAGAGTATTGGAATTTTGGGAATGTAAATTTTATTAACTAATTCGTTTTGGTTTGTTTTATACAGAATTACGAAATAACAATATTTTCTGACTTTCTTTGAGGGCAAAAACCATTGACATTGGCAGATTGGGGAAAGAGGTAGGAGAAATCAACAAAGATCCCTTTTAAAATCTTTCAATAATTCAGAGAGTCTGGCTCTTATGAAAAAGTGCCACTTTTGAATTTACATCCTTTGCATAAAGTTTGAACTCACTAGAAACGATTGTCAATGAAATCTGAATTTGAGATCAATGAAACCTGTCAGATGCACAAGTAGTCCTTATTATAAATCAACTTACAAAATGTTTACAGTATCATTAGACCTTCACAGCCTTTAAGCAAAAACAATAACTCAATAGATGGAGAAAAAATAAGGGAAAAGGCATGAGTCCTATAGCAGATCCACATGCTATCATTTCACTGAAATCTTCATACCAAATATTAAAAACTTTACCTGAACAGTCTTTAGCATAAATATATGTAGGATTATATGTCAGAAACACATATATGTTTGAATAAAAGTAGACGATGAGGGTATATGTCAATGAGACAAGAACCCAACCATACAAAAAACGTAGATATACACAAAATATTGTTGACCTGTCATACAGAGTTATGAGGAAAAACATTTATCTGAAAAACTGATCAAGGCCATATGACACATCTTGATTACACCCACATACCAAATATTGTTGAAATGTCATGCAATATTACTGAGGAACAGAACACATCCTGAAAACTATATCGGACTACTAGAGAGCATGATGGATGGACAAAATGGTGTATACCGTCCAGCAGCAAATATTATATGCATACCAGGACAAGAAAATGTTAATGTGATTTTGGGTATGAACCCCGTTTTGTACTAGACAAACACACTGAGTTGGATTTTTATCTTGCTTGTTCTCAAGGCATCAGTTCATTGAAAGACATGTTAGCCTATCCAGACACGTTATTCTGACTTCCAAATCGTCCAGTCTTTGCTCTAACTCCACAATGAACCAAATAACTAAAATACATTTGATAAAAGATGACATTATGAAAGCTTAAGCTTTAACAGATGACATTTTGAAATCTGAACCTTTATAACCATATAGATGACAAGATTATATAAAGTTATAGGTTTCCAGGTAACCAATAGAAAGTGGATGATCAGACTGTTAAGCCATAATATCACTATAATTAGGCTTTTTTTTATTGCAACAAGCTCACCATTTTCTCCTGAAGATAACAATGCATAGCTTGTGTGACGTCTGCAGCATGAACAGCATTATGGTATGGATTCGTACTATGGTAACCATCTTCTATTAATGCTGAAAAATATAAATTCTCATAAATGCTGCATTCATTGTGTTTTTGTACAAAGAAATATACAAACTGATTTTTTTTAACCAAACTGAAAAGCTTTTTGCACATTTTGTCATTGAAAATTTTCAAGGTAAATAAAGCTTTAAAAATAGTCAAGTTTTCATGAAACTATTTATCTAAAATTCAATAGACTATTTTCATATTACCGACTTTTGACTTAAGGAGTATATAATTTTTCGATAGGTTACCTACATTGTGGTAGGACATTCTGGTACTCAGGTCAAATAAGAGCAATTAAAAGAAATAAAATCTAGCTTTTAATTGGTGCAATTTGAGAAAAAAAATCAACAGTTTTCCAATGATTTTGTTATGTATAGAAAACATTAATTAGTTATTTTTTCCCCAAAAATTGCACCAATTATAAGCTTGATTTTATTTCGTTTACTTGCTCTCAATTAACAAATACCAGAATGTCCTACAACAGAGAAGGTAACCTGTTGAAAAATTATATATTAGGGAGTCAAAAGATGGTAGCAAGAAAAAAGTCTATTGTGATAGTCCAAAATGCTTTGACGTAAAAATATTACACAGAACTTACGAAATGAAACCTTATGCAAAACTTTACAGTAGTTATAAAAATATAAAATGTTGATAACCTTGACTAAAACATTACAGAGCCTCTTAAACTATATATAAAAGGACAACTTAAGTGATGAAATACAATGTATATATCACAATGGGTATCAGAGATAATAGTCTGAACCCAAAACTTTATAGAAGTCGTTCAAGCATAACATGTTGACTAAACTTTTCCAATTGTAGTGGAAATAAGTCAATTATAAGAGGATTGTATTGGGGATAATCTTGATCACTGAACTACCAATGCAGGTTTCTGGTAGAATGGACTTAAAAGGCAGAATGGACCAATAGGCAGAATGGACTTAAAAGGCAGAAAGGACTGAAAAGGCAGAATGGACTTAAAATGGCAGAATGGACTTAATAGGCAGAATGGACTTAATAGGTAGAATGGACTTAAAAGGCAGAATGGACTTAATAGGCAGAATGGACTTAAAAGGCAGAATGGACTTAATAGGCAGAATGGACTTAAAAGGCAGAAAGGACTGAAAAGGCAGAATGGACTTAAAATGGCAGAATGGACTTAATAGGTAGAATGGACTTAAAAGGCAGAATGGACTTGATAGGTAGAATGGACTTAATAGGCAATTGGACTTAAAAGGCAGAATGAACTAATAGGCAGAATGTACTTCAAAAGCAGAATGGACTTAAAAGGCAGAATGGACTTCAAAAGCAGAATGGACTTAAAAGGCAGAATGGACTTAATAGGCAGAGATGGATTTAAAAGCCGGGAATGGACTTGATAGGCAGAATGGACTTAAAAGGCATAATGGACTTAATAGGCAGAGGGACTTAACAGGCAGAATGGACTTAATAGGCAGAGGGACTTAATAGGCAGAATGGACTTAATAGGCAGAGGGACTTGAATCATATATTCCTTTCAAAATTGTGTTCAATAAATCATCAGGATGTCAATAATATGAGCCATGAAAACTGTTGATTATTTGAGATACAGTTTGATTAGATAAATAGAACTAATGATTTGGTTTCCAGTGTTGCGTCATGTTAATCTAATTGAATAGCACTATTGTTGTACTTTTATACTTGTTAAGTCAATCACAATCAATGCGTCAGAAGCACTAGTTACAGCTAGTTCTGTACAAAATGTGTTAAAAGAAATTAAATTATTTGTATCACTTTTATCTGAAATCGCTAATCTATTAAACCTTCATAAACAGGAACATACTTAACTTGGTAAGCAAAGAGAAAGAAATTCTTTTTATTACTCTTTCATGTATTTTTCAGCCAAAAAATATTAACACATTTTTCAATGAGTGTTAAATCGTGAATGGCAGATTGGTTGTTCACCAAATCCACTGTGTAGGGATTTGTATGACCTTGTCTTTTGAAGTTTGATAAAAGGTTACTCCTAGTGCAAATTGATATATTTAAGCATTTTGACAACTTGTTCAGCATATATACCTGAGACAACTGGAGTCTTATAGTAATCAAGTAGTTATAACCACATCTCCTTATCTTTATACTACTGTCAGGAATAACAGTTTCTTTATATTGGGAAGTTTCAATAATGAATCTATTTACAGAGGACTACCCTATAATAGTTTGGTGAAATTGGACATATCAATTGACATTTAACTCTGTGCCTATTCTAAAATACGGTGACCTTAACCTTTAACCCTGTGCCCTTAAAAGCAAATCATAGATCATCATCCCTCTCTTAGGAGCATAATCCCCCTAAATATGATGAATCAAAATAATCTGGATACCAGTTTCTTCAAAATTTTGGTTTAACAATACCTGCTGTAAGTATCATTTTCACCTAAGACCTAAAATCTGAAGATGTTTGTATGCATGTTTGCTCTGTATAAACCTCCTTTCTAAGGATAACCATCATGAGTTATGGTGTACAGAAGGACATTTAGCACACTATCGGCTCATATTTATGTCAGCATTTGCCTACTAAGTTCCAGAGCCTGGCCATGATGGTTAAGGTTCATGACAAGGTACAGACAAACATGTCTGCCCCCAAACCACAAAACCCACTCTGCGCACAGACATACCTGTGCACCAAGAAAAGACCTATCATTGGACCCATACACATAAAAGTCACATGCACTGTGTGCTCTGTGTATTCCTTTCACAAATAAGCATATTTCACCAAGTTGATTAAAGCCAGTATTGCATAACATTAATTTTCAATATGTTATGAGACAGCCATGTAGTCACAAGTTTATTAAGTTCTTTTATCAGAAAGTTATATATTTTCTTTTTTCATATAACACTGGCCATTTCAAGGATTATCTTTAAATTTGTCAGATCATTCTATAGAAAAAATGTTAACAAGTACAATTTTTTTTAATTGGAGCAGCTCCCATTATACAATCAGACTTTAAGCATTTTATCAGGCTTTTATAGAATTTCAAAGAGACATGTATGCTTGAAAGCAGGAGATTGTACTGAACATCTGAACACCATCCATTCATATAAGAGTTTATCTTTCCCCCCAAAGGATTGCAATGGAATCAGAACAAAAGACATATATTTTGTCACATCTGTGGAGTATAAATGTTTCCAGATCTTCAATTTTGGATGAGTATGATATGTTGACATTAGACTAAGTCACCTGTACATCAACAAAGTCTTCCTTCCCTAAATAACTTTATACAGACAACTATGACATCAATGTTGACAAACATATTTTCTATGATGACTCTTCAATACCATCAGATGTTGCCATATGTTAATGTGTCTTTCCAAAGTCAGGAACCTAATCAGTATATATGTCTTTAGTTATATTTTATGTGTGTGTTTTTCCTTCATAAAAACTGATGTTAAAACTGTTAATTCAGAAAATTTTTGCAATAATTTTCTTTGTAGGATTTGCAAAAATAAAAATTTGCAATTTCAATTTGGAAAGCATTATATATACAAAATGTATTTGTATGCAGCATTTCCTGAAATCATAAAAAATAATTTCGCATTTTTGCCAATATTTCTACAATCTAAATAATAACTTTTCAGTAAAAATTTCTGAATTTACAGTTACAAGATCTTCGTAGTCTCTGTTTATGTATTCACAAATGATCTAGACTTGAATGCAGTTTAGAGCTTGATATGTTGTACAGCAATATGTCTACTGTTGAAGACTTTCTGTTGACCTCTAGATGTCTTTTTTTTTGTATTGGCGATTTGCTGTCTCATTGACAAATTACAACCATCTTCATTAATTTTTACCTTCAATGCCAAATACAGTCAAACCTGCTTAAAGAGACCACCTGTATTACTATTAAGCAAAAAAAGTGTTATAAGACCATAAATTTTAGGTCCCTATGTAGTGCATTTCATACAGATTGAACCTGTATTTTATGAGACCACTTTTTTGCTCTCCCTTAAATGGTTGGTCTCTTAAAACAGGTTTCATTATATAAGACTATTCCTGTAGTAGTACTTACAGAAAACCTGAAACACTTTCATGATGTCTAAGCTGAATGTATTTATGAGATCATATTGTCGGAAAATATTAAGGGCGATGTGAAGTAATGGTCTACCTGCAACAGAAATAGCCATATAACTAATAATTGTTTCTACCAAGGTACATTTAACAAACACTATTTGATCTTAAATTACTAAATATCAACATTAAGGAGTGTTGCACCTATTACTCTGACTGAAGCAATTACCCAACTAGATATTCTTGTGTTTTATATCTAAAAGATTAACATCCAAATCTTTGTTTAGCCATACATCAACATATATACTAATGAAATTAAACAAAACCTAGATTGGATAGAAGAATGAATCTGAGAGACAACCTATTCATATTGTTCTGATGGCTATAATGACACGTAAACCAGTAGATATTGCTTATATTAGCATATGTAAAAAGTGTTTAATTCTTATGACCCAGTTAAATTTAATGTTATCTATAATAAATCATATATACGTTTTTTTTGGTCATCCAAGCTGTTAAAGGTCATTTCCTTTTGGGCAGATATAAATCATGTTTTAATGTAGCTGATATTGCATATTGCAAAAAAAAACAAGAGTGAAAATGTTAAAACTTACAACTCTATCCTATATCTGGTTAGTTACTGCATATGACTATATTAGAACATTTTAACTTTAGTGATGTTTTATCAACTATAACTACTTATTTTTTTCGATAGATCTTTAGGAAACAACATTAAAATTAAATTCACCACATGTAAATGTTGCCAAATGACAAACAAACTTACCACAGGTTAAAAGATCCAGGCTGAAAATGTCAAAATTCCAATTGCCCACATTGGAAAGGAGACACTACAACAAAATACAGAAAATTAGAAGAAAATCTATCTATAATATACTGTCTTCAAATCTTCCTTAAAGTACACCAGTAATATTTGATTCTAATGCAATTATTTTGTATCAATGGTTCTGATTGGATGACAGTAAGCGTAAAATTCTCTATCTCCTTGTCTGTAACTAAGGAAGCCGACATTTTGAATTGCGGAATGTATTGACATGTAATTTCTACAATAAAAAGCCAAAAACTCACATGTTGCACCTAGAAATTTTCTTTTTATCAAATTTTATTACATTCTGAAGCGGTAAAGAAGCCAGAAAACACCTGGTGTTTACGTTTGACGCTGAAGCATACCTATGACGTCACCTAGTTTAGGGGCCAAAGAAGATAACATCTTTTCGCGGAATTTTCTTTAATGAAAATTTTACACTGAAATAATGATTAAAATTGAATTATGTACTTGTTTTGCATTAGAATAGAGATAACTGTATTGTATTTGAAGCTTTGCGGACGTCCATCGGTAGTTTTACTGTCGCAAATACCAGTTTACCTGTCTCCGCTACGCATCGCCAGGTAAACTAAATTTGCGACAGTAAAACTACCGATGGACGTCCGCAAAGCTTCAAATACAATAATCTCTTAATTGTTCTCTATGTAAAGGTACTATAGATACTAGAATTGTTTTCCTGAATAACGGTTATTGCCTAAAAGAGGCAGGTTTTGAATGTTTTTACCCTGGAAAAAACTTTTATTGAGAAGAGGTTGTTTTGTAAAAGTACTGTTTTCATGTATTTATATAACATATATATTTCAGACATTGCAAAAAGTGCACTTTCCATACAAGTTCAAACTGTTATTTACTAGTGTGTATTTCATCAACAATTCAAGAATATATATACCATGTTAACAGAGAGTAATAGAGCTTTCATGTAATATTGCGGAACAAATCAACTATTCATCCTTAAACAAACCTCTCAGCTATCAATCTCAACTTAAACATTCATTTGGTGTAGTCATACAGCTTTGCTTAGAACTTTGGCTCTATTTCTTGGAATAAGTTCTGTGGTTTCTCTAATAAACAATCTGTTACATAAAATCATTTCCAAATTTACAATTTCAAATCATTCATTATTACGGTTTCTTTGTTAATGATTTGGTCTAACTAATACGTGTTTTTACCTCAGCCTGTCGTTGATATTGGGTATCTAATAATGAGACATGTTGATGAGACAGACTTGCCACAGGCCGTCGTCGCTGCCGTCGTTTGTGAAGACTAAGGAAACGTGATGGCCACTGTCTTTTATTATCTCTAGAAGACAATTCTGTAAAATAAAAAGTTTTTTAATACAACATTTTTATATTCTTGTTTATCTAAATAAATAAAAGAACAGAGTTCCAATGTCCCCCGCATTGTACATCTTTTATCTATCAAAGGGCAATAACTAAAAAAAAACACTTTTTTTTTGTTCTTTAAAACAATTTATAAATATCTTAGAGAAATTAAGCAAATGAGCAAATGCAATGCCAATTCCATTATAATTAATTTTTCCAAGGGGCATAACTAGTTAAAAATATTTGATCAGCACTTATATTTTCGAAAGTGTCAAAGACATTGCTGATATAAACCTCTGATAAAAGTTTCATAAAAGTCTGGCAAGAATTGTACACATGAGAGCGCTAACAATGCAATTTTCCATATAATCAATGTTTCCAAGGGACATAACTCTTTTAAAATTGATTGATCGGCACTGATTTTCGAAATTGTTAAAGACATTGCTGATATTAACCTATGATATAAGTTTCATAAAATTCTAACAAGAATTGTACACATGAGAGCGCTAACAATGCAATTTTCTATATAATCAATATTTCCAAGGGGCATAAAAAAATTATCTGCACTGATTTTCGAACTCGTCTAAGACATTGCTGATATAAACCTTTGATATAAGTTTCATAAAAATCTTGCAAGAATTGTACATATGAGAGCGCTAATGATGCAATTTTCCATATAATTAATGTTTGTAAGTGGCATAACTCTTTTAAAAATAATTGATCGGCACTGATTTTCCAATTCGTCCAAGACATTGCTGATATAAACCTATGCTATAAGTTTCATAAAAATCTGACAAGAACTGTACATGAGAGAGTGCTAACAAGACCGGACGGACGGACACAGACAGACGGATGGACTGACGCCTGGTATTTCAATGTCCCCTGCAATGCGTTCGCGGGGGACAAAAACAAGATATTATGATTGATAATTTTGCTAGATTTGGTTTAGGCCAGCTCAGTCAATCAGCAAACTAACTAACTGACAACAAGACAGTAAGGAAACAAAAAATACAACTGTATAATCATGAATTTCACTCATCCTTTTAAAACAATTTTCCACCAAAGACCTAACGTAATACACAATGCACTGTGCCATAAGACCATGACGCCTGGAAGCTATGTTTAAGATGATGTGATTGACCAGTAGTAATAGCTCTATTGTATTTAAAACCGTGGTGTACAGAAAACTGTGGAATACTTTCTCAGAAAACTGCTTTGGTTGAATAAAACAGAATGAAGTCAATTTGTCTTTACCATTCAATATCATTCTGTCTCCTGAGGGCGAACATTTTGTTGACAAGTTAATTACAGTAAGGAAGAGTAAAAAAGGTTAGTTCTGTAACAGTTATCCTAACAATAAACTAATCAGACTTGTTTGTACCAAGTCAATTGATGTTTAATTTCATTGTACAGATATATTTCTTGGTGCCATAATTTTCCCCGTGTCTGGCCATTTTGAAAACATTCAATATATGGTGAATAGAATTTGCAGTATGACAGTGATTTTATCAAGACTGCGTCAGTTACCATACCAGATTGATTTTTCCATACATCATTATCCTGAGTGACAACTTCTTTCATTAGATCTTACATTCTATGATTTGACGTACTCAGATATAAATTCTTCGACTGGGGGTTTGTGCAGCTTATTGAAATTTATTTCTTCACAAATCGGAATTCAATAAACGTCAATTCAGACTCTAATGTACAAACATTTCCTATTTTAATTAATGATACAGGATGAATCAACAGCTCTGAATAAATAGAACCTGATTTAGTAGGTGCAATTAAGTGATCATTGATGCTTGCAGAAAAAGAGGTGAAAATCTCATATTCTCGTGGAAAATATTAGTCATAAAGCTTTAAACTATTAATGCATCAGCTAATTATAATAAGGTTATGTTCTTAATTAAAAAGAGTTTTTAAATAGATAAAATAGAGCACCAAAGAGCTTGCACTGCCCACCTGGTATCACTTTATTCTGACTGCTATAATGTACATCACTGACATAGATCAGTCTGTATTGGTCAATGTATTTATCTATCATGAAGTTATCTTCATAATTTCTATAGAAAATAATGAAGTCGTGGTTCATGTGGTTTGCTTTAAATTAATGGCTGGTTTTACTTTTTTACCAAAATGAGGTACATGTATTGCAGCAATTTTCACAGTTAAAAAATGATGGTTGTGAGACAAAAAATGTCTCAAGACCATCATTTTTTAACTGTGAAAATTGCTGCAATGTATGTTGTAAAGGAATTAAAATCATTGCTTGAGCAGATAACAAAGCAAAACTTTTATGGATCAATTTGGTCTAATTTGTTTTTTTTTACATATCCATGGCTGTTCATAATGAAACAACTAATTAAAAGCTTAACATTCAAATTTTTATTTTACAGGATAATGACTCAGGGGACAGGGCCTCATATACTGCATGCATTTGAGATACATAGATGCTAATACAAATGTACATCAAACATGAATAGTGTTATATAAGTACTTATTATAAAATGAACCTATTAAAAAAAGCTCAGAGTTGACAGCACCTTGATGATGACAATGACAGTTCAGAATAAAATGCTTCGCTGGGGCGCAGCTTGATACGACCGCAGAGGTCGAACCCTGAACAGTTGGGGCAAGTATGGACACAACATTCAAGCTTGATACAGCTCTGAATTTGGATTGTTATTAAATATTTGACACAGCATAGGTTTCTGACACAGAAAGAATGTGGTCTAAGAACTTGAACTTTTTTTAATTTACCTATTATGGTCCAATGTCCAAAATCAAAATACATGGTTAGATTCAGCATATCAAAGAACCCCATATATTCAATTTTTACTAAAATCAAACAAAGTTTAATTTTGGACCCCAACTTTGACAAACCTGAAAACTGGGCCCATAATCAAAAATTTAAACACGTGTTTAGATTCAGCATATCAAAGAACCCCAAGAATTCAATTTTTGCTAAAATCAAACTAAGTTTAATTTTGGACCCTTTGGACCTTAATGTAGACCAATTTAAAAAACGGGACTTAAAATTAAAAATCTAAATACACGGTTAGATTTGGAATATCAAAGAACCCCAATAATTCAATTTTTGATGAAATCAAACAAAGTTTAATGTTGGACCCTTTTGACCTCAATATGAACCAATTTGATAGCGGGGCCCACAAATAAAAAATCTAAATTCATGGTTAGATTCAGCATATCAAAGAACCCCATATATTCAATTTTTGTTGAAATCATAAAAAGTTTAATTTTGGACCCCAACTTGGACCAACTTGAAAACTGGGCCCATAATCAAAAATCTAAACACATGTTTAGATTCAGCATATCAAAGAACCCCAAGAATTCAATTTTTGTTAAAATCAAACTAAGTTTAATTTTGGACCCTTTGGACCTCAATGAAGACCAATTTAAAAAACGGGACCCAAATTAAAAATCTAAAAACACTGTTAGATTTGGCATATCAAAGAACCCCAATAATTCAATTTTTGATGAAATTAAACAAAGTTTAATTTTGGACCCTTTTGACCTCAATATGAACCAATTTGATAGCGGGGCCCACAAATAAAAAATCTAAATACATGGTTAGATTCAGCATATCAAAGAACCTCATATATTCAATTTTTGTTGAAATCAAACAAAGTTTAATTTTGGACCCCAATTTGGACCAACTTGAAAACTGGGCCCATAATCAAAAATCTAAATACATGTTTACATTCAGCATATCAAAGAACCCCATATATTAAATATTTGTTGAAATCAAACAAAGTTTAAATACTGGACCCTATCTTGGACCAACTTGAAAACTGGGCCCATAATCAAAAATCTAAACGCATGTTTAGATTCAGCATATCAAAGAACCCCAAGAATTCAATTTTTGTTAAAATCAAACTAAGTTTAATTTTGGACCCTTTGGACCTTAATGTAGACCAATTTAAAAAAACAGGACCCAAAATTAAAAATCTAAATACACGGTTAGATTTGGCATATCAAATAACCCCAATAATTCAATTTTTGATGAAATCAAACAAAGTTTAATTTTGGACCCTTTAGACCTCAATAATAACCAATTTGATAACGGGTTCCACAAATAATAAAATGCTCCGCTGGGGCGCAGCTTGATACGACCGCAGAGGTCGAACCCTGAACAGTTGGGGCAAGTATGGACACAACATTCAAGCTTGATACAGCACTGAATTTGGATTGTAATTAAATATTTGACACAGCATAGGTTTCTGACACAGAATGAATGTGGTCTAAGAACTTAAAAAAATTTAATTTATCTATTCAAACCATATCATTATTATTTGCTTTTATATATAAATCAGAAATAACCAATTTAAAATGGAAAATTTTAAAGAAAAAAAAGGGAAAAAAAATCCCCCCCCCCAAAATTTTTTGAACCCCCTTATGATTCATCACCCCCAAACTCAATCCCAGCCTTCCCTTAGTGGTATGGTACCTTGCAGTACTGTACATGTGATGGACTGTGAAACTAAGATCAGGAGTTTGGGAAAGTTTGGTCAGGAGATTAGGACTCAGATCAGGAGGTTTTTAATCGACATAAATTCTGTCGTAAATGTAACCATGTGCTGTAGAAATTGTCTGTTAAAGTGTGTTTTCTTCAACTTTCCATCCGAATGTATTATGTTTATAGTACCCTTGTACTTATAAATTTTCTCTATCTTTTTGAACTTTCAACTTGTTCAATCTAACATTCTTCTTTTTTAGTATGTTCTTTAAATTTTTTAGGTCATATCTTTTTTACCATTATTCATTGCAATCAGATCATTTGCTTATCAATCTGCAAGTAGATCTTTTATTTTTAACTTTATGCAAGTAGTTTTTTTTTTTTTTTATCTTTATATGCAAGTAGTTTTTAATGCATGATATGTAACACATTAAATTAAAAGTTATGGGTCATAGTTATTATATAAATTTCAATTTAAGCCTTGAAAGGAAGTATAAAACCCTCAAATAA